AGGTCGGTTCTAGCTTTCAGCAAGGGATCTGGTACCGTTATTTGAGTGGTATTCTCTATTGTTACGGGCAAACGTAACAGCTTGTCCAGTAGTGACTGTTTAAAAGAATTTTGAGTAAAATGAGGTGACTGCGGAAACTGACATCTGAGAGAGGTATGTTCATTCCTGGGGTCGCAAAGTTCTTGATTTGACGCAAATAAAATTGCGCTATCGATGATCTTATTTGGAACTCACAAGTAATACCCCATTGACAACGCCAGATGACCCATTACCAGAGGGTGTGGTTAAGACTGTAGAACTTCGGGCCGGATGTCCTAGTGCATCCACTCAAACCAACCACACCAAGACTGCCATCGGTGTATGCCTTTGTGGAACTTCTTAATAGTGCAGGTTATTGATTTCGAAACCTTGTTAGGCTGAATTTTCCAAAATGAGAACCTATTAACTATAAGAGACTGATTAATCGCAATGCTGGATTGTGCAAAAAATTTAATTCTCACTGTGCTCAATGTGAAGACGCTTACAAGTATAATAGTTCACTGATTTATCTGTTCACCAGTCACCACAAAGGAATAACAACGGCAGCATGTCACAATTCTGAACAGAGTATTAGAGGTGTGATGGCACCGCCATCCAAAAAACTTACTTGCCGGAAGATTCGAATCACGGGGGGCTCCGGTGGGCGAGCTCCGACGATGTTAACGCGAAGGTACCTCGCTTCCCTCGTCACGAATTCCCGATCACCGTCCGGGAGTTTCTTCCAAATCGTCACCTGGAGTGGCACGTAATCTATGCCAGGACTGTTGGGCTTCCGATGCAGGTACCTAAAGGGGTTTAAGTGAGCAAGTAACACTTTAAGTCAAATAGAAAAGTATACACCGATGTTGAGGGCTGTGCTAGCCTAACGCAGCGTCAGCTTAAGCCAAGAAAGACCTAAGGCCGCAAACTGTACGGTATTTAAAATCAACTCATTAATTATGCCCTGGTGGACTTGGAATTCGAAAAAAATTATTCCAACTCATTACATACGGAAGCCTTCTACTAAGGCGATAGCGGAAGATTCCAGTCTTATTGTGATAAATACACACCGATCCCGCCAAATACGATCACCCATCACTAACCTGAAAATCGTATAATGTAAATAAGGATTACTTCAAGTGCTGAAACAGAGCCAACACGAATGGCGATTAATTCGATGAACGTAAGGCACATGCAGGTTCCCAAGCATCTCCTTATACATCAATTCGTAGCATATCGACTATAATTCACAAAAGCCGGACTTGCATTTAGTTTATAATAACAATTTACATCGATTTTTTTTATTTATTAGCCTCCTTCGCGACACCCGCTAACGCCTTTTTTACTGGAGCCTTGTCTGAGTGGCAAACAGGATGTGATCGCTAAGATGAAGCAATCCAACCACTGAAACAAACTCAGTAGGGTAACTCGGAGGTATTTTCCGTGATTAATTTAACCTGAAGCATTTTCGTGGGGGTGGCAGGCACGTTGCTGTTTTATTGCAAGTTCATGGCTTTCGCATGATTATGGATAAAACAATTTGAGCAAAACCGTTGACAGATCGGACTGCAGAGACTGGCTGAAGCCACAAGCGTTGGGAGTATCAGCTTACGAATTCCCTTCAAAAGTTCCGAAGTACATGTTAAATAAACTGCTTTCGCACGAATGTGAGCAAAAGATATAAATCCGTGCGGATTTATAAAACGCAAAAAAGCAGAAAAATGACGAAAAATGAACCCTTTTGGCTCGTGCCTATATATATTTCACACCGCCTTCTTGCCGGTCTCGAAATTAAATTCTCACCTTACTAGAGTATTACTTGCAAACACGATTGCGCAATGATATGGCAAATTCCAAGTCACAAGGAAGGCTTAATGTGGAGAAAAACGTTAGATCAATGGGGCTACGACAGAGTGTGACCTTTTTAAATGCACATAGGAGAAAAATGAACTTCATTATCGAAAGGAATGGGCTTGCGAAGGAATGGCAGTAGCAACACACTAATTATCTGTGCTGAGTGGAATTCAATCCACGGAATGCATGAATTAATGGGAATTGGTAACCGGAACTTGAAGCCAATTGCCACAACTGATATTTTCATATTATTTTTCCACTTAGGCACAAGTTTTCTTGATCGTTTCCGGATGCCTTTAAGTTGGCTTCTGGGTTTTTCTCCCATCCCACATTCTTTTAATTTTGCTAAACGTAACATGCACTGTAGAACTTCCCGAACTTTAGCTATCATTTTTTTAAAATGAGGAATAGGATGTTGTGGGCCCCAGCATGTGGTCCTGAACTACGCCGGGGCCACTGAATTAACCCTGGTCTGATTGCGCTTGCATAATACCAGCGATGAAGAAAACGATTGGAGAGAACGTGGACACAACCGTTTACTTCAGAGCTCAACCACGTTGATGTCGTGTCGTGTGTGGGGTTTGCGCGTGTGTATTTATACCTCGAATGTGTGAGTCATAGATGCGCTAACATCGAGACCTGGGTGTGAGGATAATCCAAGATAAATAATCATACGAATGAGGGGGGAGTTGAGGATCTGGGCGGCTGGTGACATGCTACGAAAAATGGAACCTTGTGTCGGAGGGTGGAGCGACCGGATTAAGGGGTGTGAATAAACACGATTCACAACAAGGATAAAGTGTCTAATCATACCTGTAGCCTTGGAGCAAGGCCTCGTGGCATTCGTGCTCGAAGTGGTCCACTGGGGTGCGATTGAAAGCCGCAACGATCTGGCCGAACAGCGGCCACCGTCGGCCGCCCCCAACGGCGGGTCCGCTTGCCAAGGGCCGGCCGAGGCGCGGCGCCCACAGGCCCGCGTTCGACTCCCACCAGGGTGTCACGACGGGACGCCCCGTCTGCAACTCGAGGCGGCTTTGCTCGTTTTGCTGGCGACCTGCTGGCTGCAGGTCTGGACGCGTGAATGAGAGGTAGCACTCCTCCTCTTCTGGTTTGTAGCTGGTGGTTGAATGAAATAAAGCTTCACCATTTGTCAGGAACCAAATCGCACGAACACTCTCGGTAATAATTATAATGACAACGGCTAGTCTAAGCTGATTCGTAAGTGACACGATCGAGTGTCATGACGAGGCAGGTTTGACGTATATCATATGCTGGGTCCATAACTCAATTGAAATTAGCATGCGTTTCAAGAGTTAGAGGATTTGCTGGCGGAAAATATCAGTGAAGGACGAAAGGTTTTAATTCATGGCGTAGGTGATTTACCTTAAGACCTAATTTGGTTGTAAGACAAAATACTTTAACATTAATTCAGGAGGTAATTAGACCTCCGTCATTGAAAGAAGCCAGATTCAGCGGAATAAATTGATTTCACTACTTCCACCAGCAGCCATTTCCACGCCACTTTATTCATCCCTTTTAAATAGGCCACAAAAAATGGTTTACACTTGGTGACACGTGGAGAAGACTTGGAGCTCTATAGTTTGTTGGTAACTCTTAAGTATCAATCTAGATATGTATTCAGAATGCAAGTAAAATTTATATCTCTGTGGTGAATAGGAAGAAACGTGAATACAGCTTTGGCTGTCGACGTGAAGTCTGATAACAGAAACAGACTCGACTCAGATACTAAGTACACGATGGCAGTCAATGAAAGTGCAAACTTGGCGAGAAAAAACGAGGTTTTGGGGGACTTCACGGGATTAGACAATTCGAAACAAAAAAATTTAGAGACCGATCAGAAGGATTTGTGACGTGAACTGATTTAAAAGCCTGACAAGTGTAAACTGTTTGTGTGGGGAGTCTGCGAAATTGGGTTTTATTTAAACCTCTGACTGGTTTATGCTGTGGCATCGTTCACTGCACCTCAAACAATTTCTTTTTCCGTAACTTAAAATATGGTTTTAGTTGATCTTAAAATGAATTCTTAACTAGAAAACAGATGGCTTTAGGGGGTTTGTTTCCCATTGAACTCTGAAACCCTTAGAATAGAAATGGAAAACATTTTGGTTAACAACTCTATTTAACATAAAAGCTGGGGATCCCAATGTAGCGGTAGTATTCCGGCTTTATGCTATTCATCTAAGTGGGAGTAGGCAATGCTCCTCCAAATATGACCAAATTTGCTTAGTCTGCAATTCAATTGCAAAAACACTTTGTAACTTTTACGTCAACATGTAGTTATTTTTCTTCATGGTAGAAAAACCAAGAATGATATTCGAGCGTGTTGCAAACTTAACACAGGAATCTAACCTGTTAGGAAGTCCTGCTGTGATTAGGATGCACTGATGATTTGATCCTTCAAAAAGTATCTAATCAGAACTAAAGTTTACTCATCTGGGATCTGGGACGATTTGGGTAAAACGCGACTGCTTTGACTTCGGTTTGACATTTAATGGGTTAAAATCAGTTGGCCTTATCCACGGACATGGTGACAAGAAGTTTGCCCAGAGTAGTTGCTGTCTTTCAACAACAAACTAATTTAAAATTCACACATTTTGGCCCCTCATTTTACAGTACAGACATATCGGATGGAAGACGGCAAGAAACGCAATTATCCAACGGTAAATGTTCGCGCAAACAAATTCAGAAGTCAGTCTGCTTAGGTGTCACTAGTTTTATGCACAAGTTTCAATTACTGCGCGCCTGTCTCAAGCAACATGAGATTTTTACAAGGTCGGAAGTTAGTGCTGCAGGCTAAGGTAGCCGAATTCATGTCTGAAGTTTCGTTTTTACACAAACCGCGGCGCTTAAAGACATCCGCTGGCTACTAACATGCGGTGTTGTTCGCTTTGCAAGGGTTAAAAACAAGCTATTTAGCGTCAATTTTAAGTTGAAATAGTTAATTCATGTTACACTAACAACGTAGTGATTAGGTTTTGCCAACCGATACCAACCTCCTTGTCTCGACATCTTTGCAATTAAACTTGCAGATAGTTTAACTAACGAATTGGGCAGCAGAGATTACTGACTCTGGGTAAATTCGCTCTAGTTTCTCGACTATTAAAATAATTGGGTTTCACTGCAAACTCCAGGCTGCAGTCTGAAATGTCCACTCAACGTTTATGTAGTTAAGTAATCAGGTTATATATACAGCACATCGGGCTAGTGGCAAGGCCTAATGATCCACAGGCCAGTTCGGAGTATCACTGATTGTCTAGAAATATTCGATAGAGCATGCGTGTCCTAAATCAGACACTCACTCAATTTTTACAACAGAAGGACTAATCGCCTGACTGCCTGCTTTAATGTTTTTTACGTCAAGCTCCAGTGAGCCGCGTATCCTTGGACGCTGGTCCTGTCTGCCAGATATCTCCATGGATTTCGGGTGATCAAGTATGTCAACGGGAATATCGGCAGTCTGGATGATGGAGTAGTTGTTGCGGAAGAAGAAAATTGTCACCCTGACGGTGTCCACATTAAGAAGAGGGTTCCCCTCGTGGTAATAGCGAACATCCCCATCCTGGAAGGAGCAGTCGAATTTCTACAAAAAAATTGTGAAGTGCGTTTATCAGTTTCCCACGGGAAACACGAATGGACTTTAGTTGTGAAAATAACCAGAGAATGACATATCGTCAGCTCATTGTTTCATATTTATTAATTATCATTTAAAGTGAACAATCACACTCCTTTCGGTCATGATAATACCTCGTAGGAAGGTCAGATACTGGACGTGTTCTACTGTTGGCTGAATAAGTAGCAGAACTAAGATACCTCGTTATGGAATCGCTCTGCTAATCGAAATCACTGGTTTGTTTGTGTCCGCCCTTGCGACTCATTGTTTTGATTAATTGAAGGAACTGGAGACCACACGCACAGGCACGAGGTGCACATGTGCATACCTCAAAATACATCGACTTATTCGTGATTTCAATATTTCAAAGTAACCACAGAAGAGTGTCGATTGCACCATGGTATTTGTGGATGAAGAGCTAAATTGCATCGTGAACGTAAACTAAACATGTAAATCTGTTCACATTGAAGCTCACACAAATTAGGTCTATAAAGTAATACGCATTTTCATGATTTTGAGCCAATTTGCCAATTACCACATAATATATTAGTATCGTTTGACCTTAAAATCAATTTATCCCAATGCAAATGATGCCCGTTATGATTGAAATTTAATTGAATTCTTTGAAAAGTTATCCAGCACACACTAGGCGAGGTGTTAAATCACCACATTATCAACCTCGACGGTGTGTAGTAAGTTTCGTTGGAGTAAACTGTTAGCCATAATTGGTGCGCTACTTTAGATCAATCAAACTTGTACCTAGTTGGCGTGAATAGTTGCATCATGGCTTCGTTGTGTTGCAACAAAATTAATGAGAACAAATAATCGCGTGCCATATAACAATACCTTTTTCTGCAAATGACTAAGCCGCAATAAGTTAATTTTTTGCCTTTTTAAAATAAATCCATCCGGATATCGCTCAGCTGTTGGCCTCGTAACGTTTGGTAAGTTTGGCAACAACCCAAACTTGTCCTATATTTGAGGATTTGGGTAAGACGTTATCGAATCCAGCAGAATTCGTTGCAAGACATTAGGGGTTGGGTAAGCCTTGCTACCTGGCAATGTATGTTGCCAAACGTGCCTACATGACTGGTACAAATCATGACCCTTACAGTTTCAGATAAGAGAATCTTCACAGACAACTTTATGGGCACAAAATCACGCTACACTGATCATTTCATGATCCATCAAGGCTACCACGTTAATCTGAATCACCGGATATTCGAACACGCGCGCACTGTCAGGCAAAACAAGATCGGATCAATGCGTGCATGCCTTTTTTTACACGGTAGTGCTCAAGTTTTCACCACAATATCAGTTTTAAATAGAAAACTTTAGTATAAAGGATGATTTACAAAAGCATCATAATTGCGTTAACACGTCCGACCTAAAATTACGTGAAACACGTTGCTGCAGGGAAACATTTAGAAGAAAAATATTAATCCTCTTCCGTACTGATCCGACTGGAGGCACAATCCGTGAGTGACTGGTGTTGCCAGTCCTCGTTTGACAGCATTTAATGAAAGGTGAAGTGAAAAACGTTATCTTGAAAGTGTCTATGCTTTATTTCAAGAATTTTGAATGCCGCGCAGGTGGATATCGCAGTAGGCGTCTGGAGGATGTGACGTAACTGTTCTGTCAATTTTGTAGACACTTAAAAACGAACCCAACTGTTTAGATGTTCATTGAGATGCATGAGATTGCCTTTGAGGAAATATATTCGGATCCAATTGTCTCTAGCACCTATCCTCTAAAGTAGGAATCAGTTTTGCAGCTTGTGTTCCCAATGCGTTAAGACTGTGGAGCCAGTTGATTAGAAAATCGGTGTTTTGCCTATGCGGGGCAGTTATCAACACTGTCAAATGGGAACCCGTGAGTTCAGGGCCACATTTCGTAGTCTAACTAAAGGATCCCAGTAATGACCCTCAAAGCCAATCACCGTAAAGTATGGCGCAAAGGAACCTCGTTAGGCTGGACTCTTTGAAGCCAAATTAAATAGATCTATCAATGCTTGTTGCATGAGAGTAGCCAAAAGACTCATTCTGTGTTGTTCGATTTGGAAGCCTCAGAGAAAGTTTCTGCTGGAGGCGGTCTAATTTCCTATATAAGACATCCTTGGGTTTCTGTGGTTGAATAGTGAATGTCAACTCGAATAATCAGTAGGATGCGATGACTTCCTCTTTTTTAAAGAAAGAAGACGTCATCAGCACAACATGGTTTGTTGGAATTACTAGATATGCACTCAGCTGCAGAAAGAGGACGTCTTCGCACAATCGTTTCGTAGTCCTTGCATCACATTACCAGACCTGCTGCCGAATAAGCAGTGAATTCGTCATCGACCGCTCGTCTTCACCTGGTGTGGGTGGGATTCGGGGGACTGTTTAAGCCCGCCAGGTTCCACCGGCAGGCACGTAGGAGTCAGGTGTGCCTGCCATGTGCGTGTTACCACCGGCCATGACCACTACTGGAGTCGCGATGACAGTGGGAGGGGGGATAGGGAGCGGGCAAGTCGACAGGACCTGACTGGTCGAAACAGCTGTTACGAGACCACAGTGTGGTTCGGCTAGGAAGTAAAACTAGGCGCGGCGTTCTAACAGAACCACTAGGCAAAACTGACCAATCAAACTGGAGAGCTAGAAATGCACCGAACTTCTCACCTAAATGACGCTATACGGACTGCGAATTCATTTGACCCGGGTATACATCATCCTTACCCTCGAAACATAATATGAACATGCTTAAGGAACCTGATGTAAGCGTCGGCTTAATTCCTCCAGGTAAATCTGTGAAAGATGGAGGAAGGAGGATCACCAGCATTAAACAATGTTTGCAGCTGTAAGAAAACTTACAAAAATACAAGTAGAAGAGTTAAGATCTTTTATAAACAATTCTAGATCAAATGAGTTTAATTAAAATATTGATTGAAACATGGCAGTCTTTTGATTTTTGAACCATTTAACTGGGAATTCAAGCTCTCACATTACATGGAGTTGAGGAATTGGCTTAGATTATCTTCCGTATGAATAGCGAGTAAGGGAAGAATTTCACATCCATGATAAATTTCCGACCAATGAAAAAACAGTAAAATTTCTAGCTCAAGATATATGGGAACTAAGATCAAGTACTAAAAAGGCCAATATCGGGTTATAACCTAAGTCAGTTTTTTTTAATTAGATCTGCAAAATAATCTTTAGAGTGATACGTACTCCAATAGATACGTCTTTTTTTACTACTTACATGGCTGATTGTTTTAGTGTTTCAACATTTACCAAGTTTACTAAAAGATAAGCTATGATAATTTGCGCAAGTATCCGTGAGCAGACGCATGAACATGGTAGAATTTATGCAAGAATAATCAGTCAGAAGAAGATACTATGTTTGTGACTGAAAACAAACCAGCTGCGTTTCTGGCAAAGAACTAACTCTGTCATTCATGCCAGAGTTCTGCTTAACACATAAGCCTTTTTTTGTCGTCAGGTTAGTTTTTTTGGCGAGCAAGAGTATAATCGGCCGCAGAAACACTGCGAAGTTTTCTCTGCCGAATTGTGAAGAATCCATAAGTGTTTCCAAGGTGCTTTAAACGACGAAAAGTTGGTGGCCTGGACTATAGTCGCCAATTTTAAACCGGCTAAACTACTTAAACCAAATAAAAGTCTTAAACATTGCTTGTTGTAATTCAAAATCTCACCCTCTTTTAAAACTCACAAATTATGACATGACAAAAATGCAAGTTCTACTTTTTCATTTTATGTTTTAACCCTTCTTTTTGAAGGTCGCCTTGACCAGCGGACTATTTAGAAAATTGTCAGTTAACAAAGGAGCTATTAAAAGAAGCGTGAAAACAGTCAGATGAGATCATCTGCCCTTAGGTAATCATCCAACAAATGCATTCATATCTGAATTCCTTCGAACATATAGAAGCAGTAAATATTTACCAACCATCGAATTAAGGCAATTAAGATGCGACTTTAGTAACTCGGGGATTAATGACTCAACTGGTTAAACTATTTTTAAAATGTAACAGTGCCCTCTTTTTCCTAAATAATAGCTGTCATGCGGTCCATGTGGACGAAACTGATTTTATCTGTGGAGAAATTGGCCTCATCACGCAACTTGACAATAAATCTAGTAATTTGGACGAACCATGGTGGTTAGTGTCGTCGCTCGACATTATAACGCACCTCAACAACTAAGACTGAAAGTTTCTGGTAAATGGAGCAAGACGAGAACATTAGAGTAATACGAACTTTAATTGTGCCTTAAGCTAACGCGATAAAATAAGTGCGAAAATCATATGAAAAATCCGTTACTGATTAGTACTAGAATGGTGAGTGAGTGAGACGATTGTAAGGTTCGACGTAAGGATATGTTAACTATATCCTTAAGCCAAATCCCGTGAAAAAGAAGTGCAGTTCCCTTTGCAAGAAGGAAAAAGGGTAAGTCACACACCTTTGGCTCCAGGTGACCTGCGACGGAGAAAATTGGAGCTAACTCCTCCATCTCAATTCTGCAGACGTGTCGCCCACCCCTTAGAACTCGTTTTGTAATCGGCAAGTGCCGTCGCAAAAGGGGCGTCCACTGTCCCCTGTAGACTTGGAGTCTGGCAGGGGGTAGCAGGGGGTTGACGGCGAGTAGACTGAAGGAGTCCGAGCCGGCCGATGCAGATCCGCCATCCTGCTGTGGATCAGGGATCCCATTAGCAAGAGCAAATAATAGCGACAGAAAAATGAGAGTAGGCGACGCCGCCATCACTTCAAAAGCATGCTAAGAATATGGTACAGTAACCGTATCCACAGTCAGGTCACACTAGGACATTTCTCATTGGTAGGCGGCCACCAGTGGGCCAATTGGCTGGCGCATGCTTAAGCGGTGATTGGTTATTGGCAAATCTGTGACTTTTTGATTTCAGTCTGTTTAATTGCTAGTATTTGGGTTAAATTTGGCAAATAAACAATGTGGTGATGGATAAAAGTTTTAAATCCGACAAGTCGGAAAGTGAAGAGACCAGTATTGCGTGTGTTTGCCTGATTGAGATTTGTTGGTGAAACAGATCAGATTGTCTCCCAAACGATGTCTTCGATTGGATGGACCACGAAAAATTCGTTTTGGCCATCAGAAATTTGCACAAATTTCGAAACAACGATTAGGGGACCATCAAACGGGACCTACAAATGGATTCTAAATAGGTCTCAGGGATTTTTCCAGGCTGGCAGCATTTATCTAGACATATCTTGGTTTCTGAAAAAAATTGCTCGGAAAAGCTAACGCCCGAGTTGTTTGCCAGTAATTGTGCACACTTGGCAAGTCCCCGCCACTGCTGCCATTTCACATTCCTGCTCTAATCGATCGAACCGCAAACACTTCACCAGGATGATGGTGCAAAAGTGATTGCCCTGTTCGGTAGGAAAATAACGATGCGAAAATTAATGAAGCACAGCCCCACCTGCATGTTTTACAAAAAACTTGTTTTTGCAAATTTCACCAAGAAGCGGAGCTGATTTTCGTTTAAATTTTTTGATCTTCTATTGATTAATTTTGATGCAGCTACAGGTGTTTTATCCCTGGCCAAAGTGCTGGCTTGATATGCGTACTTGAGCAAACATTCGTAACTTATTGCGTCCGGTTCAAAAGGCTCTTTTAATGCCAGTGAGAGTGAATAGAAAAATGTAGTGATTACGTGTGGTAATCTTTTATTTACACCTTATCACTGGCCGATATCTACCATGCCCGTGGCGCATTTCCTTCGTCTTCGCTGAGTAAATTTGAGCCGACAGATGTGCACGTAGGAAAGGCTTTCAGCTGACAGGTAATGAGCCAACCGTGAGGTAGCGTTTTGTCTGGCTTTTTTGCACACCCCCTTGCACTGGCTACTCCTCTGTCATTTTTTTTCGAAATGAGATGAAAGCTTCATAAGAACTTGAGTTTTGACGTTTGAGCGGATGAATCGCTTAGTTGTAATATTGGTGTATATTTTCTTCTCTACCCTCAAACTTGACTTTTGTGTTCAACGAGCCGAAACGAATGCGCTTTACAAAGACACACGGACGTTTAGTACAAGCTGTGATGGCGGATTTAAAAGGAGCAGCAAAACAGCCTTCAAATTTGATCGAATTTTTAACCCGAATCCTTGTGTTTTTTAATTTTTGCAAAACCTAACTAAAGCCACGGTAACTTGGACAAGAAGAAAAAAGGTTCGCCCAGAGAGAGCTTCGGCATACGCCTGAAGCCAAATCTCACGTACATAAAAAAAGGCGATTTTATGCGAAGGGGTGGTAAGTGGAGGATGTATTTTTCGACCGAATGTTGGTACGAAGTGAAATCGGCCTAATTCTACTTTCACTGCCAAAGTAACCGGCCGAAATAAAACGGATGTGTGCAGTTGTGTGAAGGGAAATGGCCGTAATTAGTGGTTGACGAGTGTACATGCTTGGGGGGAAACTAGCCAAGCTTGAGTGATTTTCCGAGTTGCAGATGAAAGCCGGGGCTGTTGGAATGTCTTCTTCACCTACGCAACAAGGCGACTAAATGGTTGGTTGTGTTAGATCACCTCATAGAGCTGGTTGATTGGACAATTCAACACTACCGGCACGCTTCTGAATGAATACAGTGTATTTCTAACGACAGGGATTGGTGGTCGAAGTAGCATGTTCGAAGAACATCAGAGAGTGGTGAAAAGGACATAAGGGGGGCATACAAAAGCTTCGTCTTTTTGGAAATTCGTCTTCTGCAGACCCCTACTTTGGATCTGTGCACTACCACGCATGCACATACGCTTCTGGGAGTTTTATTGAGTACCTAAATCGTTCTTAAATCTACAAGTGAGTGGCTCCACAGTTGAACAGAGTTAAGAAAGATGGCTGTGAAACAGGACAGCAAACTACCCAGCTCCGACAGTGGGTCAAGAAAACATTTCAGAATGCTGAGATTCCTCCCTGTCCTCATCACCCGACCTCCCCCCAACGCCTTTTTACACTTCAAAATTTGACATGGCCATGGTAGAAGCGTTCGTCACTACGCGATGCTACTCGAGCTACTGCTTATTAAGCCGCGCAAGAGTCCTTTATCACTCATTTACAAGAAGTGGCTTTCTGACAGGCAAAAAAAACGAGGATGAAAGCGGCTCGTTTATCAAGGGGAAATGCTGGTGATCACCAGATACGGTTATTAGGAGTATTTATTTAGCATTGATGGTGTTATATTCAGGTTATAAATCAAATTACTGCCGGCAGCAAAACTGTCACGAAATATTTTCTTGACTGATACAAATAGAAAATGTCTGTATCCTAAAGAAACACGCTCATTAAAATAAGTAGCAGGTAAAGTAGTTACCCTTTGGAGACAGTAGAAATCAATACCACGACAACGCATTAACACAAACGAGACCAAGGTCTTTTTGCAAGTTCGTCAATCGATATTTGCTGGAATGCTTTTCGAAAGAAGATACGAACGGTGTTAAATGCATCTTGCATTTCCTAAATAAACAGCTTGGTAGAATTCGATTCATTTCTGGGGTGCAGTATTAGTCAAAACGGTTGGGTTGTTAGTTTAAGGTGAAGGAAATACGAACTGGCAAACACAGATATTTTGACGTACGATTGTGTCTATCAGAATGTTTTTATGAACTCGTTGGGCTGCTAAAGATTGGCAGACGTCGTGACACAGGCCACTGAATCATCACTAATTTTAATCGCCAAACTTTAGAAACGGCAGTCACTGACAGTGAAGCTTAAGTCCCCTTTTGTGGAATTGTGACACATTTTCACTGACACACTGGCGATTAGCGGGCAAACATTCTTAACAAGCGCGAGTGAACACGAATTCAGTCGATTTAATTGGATGTACTTCAAATGGGGTTGATGTTAGGAGATTGCATGTAAACTTACAGCTTACTACCCTGTGCCAACCATGTTATTACTGTAGTAATAAATTGGTTGGAATAGGCGCCATCTGCAATCTCCTCTCTTTGTTTGGTGTGCCGTGTCGGTACAGGTTAGAGCTCACATGCCGACCCCCACAACACGCTAAGTATCAGGAGTTGGGGTTCAACACTGCGCACTCAGAAGATGTGGAGATGAAATCCAGGGCCTTCATCATAACAGCCAAAATTTAAGCATCAAAGCATTACGACATGACGCCCAGATTGCAGGCTCTTCGCAGGTATAGTCGAAGAAATACCACGTTTTCGTCACACCTGCTTTCACGACGTCTCTATCCCTGCACAGCATAAACGCGAGTCAATATATAGGTCAGAGGAAAAGTTGATCAGATAATAAATCCCACGTAATCTGACGTCTAAGTACCTTGCACAACCACACTATTATTGTAGCTAGTAATTGGTTGAACTACGCGCCATCTGAAGTCTCCTCTCCCATTTGACTGGGCCTTGTCAGTGCCCGTCGATTGGCCTAGATGTGGTTCGATGACCACAGCGAGGGAGCCTCAACAAGTTCAATGAATATTTGATTTACCAAAGCAACACAAATTTGGAGTTAGAAATTCTTTTTACTATGCATACCCGTTAGGTATTTAAGTGAGGTAGAAAACCTTGAGTAAGGTGATTCCACTGGCCAACTTAACTGCTCTCTCATTCTGCGCTCAAAAGCCCAGTTGTAACTCGAAGCAGAAGACGAGTTATTACGAAGACACGACTGTTTGCTAAAACCTCTCAGTCCTGTTTTGATTGGTCGTGTAGGTGTGCATTCGAATTCGTGTATTCGTACAAGCCTAAAACGCGGCCACGAATGAAAGGACAGCTGTTGACCAGCAGAGTTGAGGTGAATTAACGAATGTGAAAGTTCATGAAAAGCAATGTGTTTGGTACGAGTGACAGGGGGCAGAGGTTAGTGTAATGAACATCATGATCAGATGTATGCGAAGGAGTGATGGGGACGCTGTGAGAAGGTGGGCGTTGTGTCAGAGTGTGGGGTGATGGTTGTGACTCATCATGAATAACTACAATATCCTGACCTGTCTGATGTGTCATCTTTCCCTGCAATTCTTTGTTTTAAAAAGAACTGACGTAATGTGGAAGACATCCTGACGAATCCTCAAATTTCCCTCACGACGATCAACTCGCCAATCTGAGAAATGCCGGCTAATAATAAATTGCCAGGACAAGACCTTCTCATTCTGTTACGTTTGCCGGTAACCAAGAGAAACCCACTCAAATAATGGTACCAGATCCCCTGTTGACGCTAGCACCGACCTTCCCACGCTGATACAAGAACAAGACCGGATCTTGTGTAGAGAGCTTTATTCATGTCAGCCATGTGAATTTTCAAAAGTGTACACTAATTCAAGTCAAGGTTAACCTTGACCTGATAAAAAAAATAATAAAACAGATGGCAGGGAATTAATGTAAATAATTACAAAAATCAGCGATGAGCAATCTTGGGGAATCCTGGATCCCTAGCACATTCGCAGCTCACGGGGGAAAGAATGTATGTTTCAAATGTTGAATTTTAGTGATACGAAGGACTCCACTATTTAGGACCGTTAAAAACATTATGGGATTCATTCCAAGTGATTTCTTATGGAATCTGTGGTTCCATAGATAAGCAACTGTTTAAAACATGGTTTGAACTCTGGTAGTGGAGACTAGAAGGAAGGTGCTCGCAGTGGAAGAGGCCCTAGTTAATTTAGAGAACGCACAGGACATGGTGGGTCAAAGTTCAAGGTCCTGTCTGGAAAAGAGAGAATCCCGCAGTTTTTGCGAGCCTCTGTAGTTCGAGCGCGAATACACAGGGAAGCTATATTGCATAGAGTTAAACAATACGACCTATGTAATTTTAAATGACCTCATTGGTCATGTACATCAGTCTATGCAGAAAAGTCCAAAAATATCATGTGAGACTAATGAAACGATAGGAGCTGACTTGCAAATCACTTCGTGGCGGTTATAAAGGGTGCATCCGGAGTGAGATTTCCTACGTAAATGGACCTTTGATTTGGCGGAGCATTATTTACCCGAAGAGTAAGGTGGGCGTGTGGGCATTTGCCGAGTCGAAAGGCTCTTTTTTAATTCGCAAAACCAGATAAGAAGGCTTAGAGGGAGTAGTGGTGTCATGTGTTTGTTAACAGTTTTGAAGCGTCGGCAAGTACCCCATGGCAAAGCAGCTGCTGCTGCCGCGAACCCGGACAAACATGGGAGGGGAGGGATTCGACACTCCTGCCACAAAACACTGCATCTTAGTACTTGTTACTGTCTGAGGCACAGAGGTATGGCCATCAACTGGCCTAAAGTTGAAACGTTGTGGCGCCAGCGTAAAATATGTTCAGGTTCTAAACCCACCCTGGGAGAATGTGCGAGCGCGTGCAGCTTAGTTCGGATGTTTAATGACACTCCAAAGCTCCGTGTGCATCATCACCACGAGGAGCAGCATTCAGTGTTTTCCCCTGGGAATAAATGCTTCTTTAATGACCCCTAACGTGATTTGAAATCCTAATTATGGGATTTTAAAAATGAAACAGCGAGCACACCATTTGAAGTATTATAACTGTACAGATCGCTTTCCGCCTTGTTTTCACGGAATTAGCTACTTCGCGAGTTTCTCCCAGTATAAGTTCTGCAGATTTAGGGATGGGATAATTTTTTTGACTGAAAGTAAGAGTTTATAGTTTAAAATATTTTAATTACCTCAACATAGTTTTAACTAGGACCACGTGGTATAAGAGAGCGATTTCCTCTGCTGGTGCCACCATGATTTGCGAACTAATCAAAAGACTGTATAGAAACACGCAGTCTCATTGGTGAACAAGCAAAAACTGAGTTTTAGCCAATCACGCCCTTTGCAGAACCCGAATGTGGGGTGATGCCTATGTATGAGTGCTGATTATTGGTTTATAGTTCGTTGAAAGGCCAATACAGAAGATATCACATTTACTCCTTAAAAACGCCTATCAGCATTCTCATGATTAACGCAGAGCCACCTCTTCCGATCCTTCTCCTGACCAACCATTTATTTTCCCTAAGACTTCGCTCCAACAACAATTTATGGACAAATATTTCACATTACGACAACCATTACTCTATGTCAGTTAAGTAGACATAAAAAATTGTTTATACCCTTGGGTACCGTTACATTGGCGGTATTCCAGATGGCTGACGTGAACTGCCCTACTTAGGACCCAGTAAAAAGTGAGGCCCATTTAGTTAGAATGATGTACGAATAAGAAATGTAGGTGAATCGTATGAAGGAAGAAAAACACGGAGATGACGGTTAGGCTGATGAATGGGCGCAAATGACAAAACCTGAAGGAAGGCCTTGCTGTGAAACAGACTGGACACTGGCGGGGTAATTAACTTTGAGTTAACAGTTGAATTCCTACGATTACAGAGCCTGTTTCAATACCATTTTACAGTAATATTCGAGGTAGGTGATTGGCCGTCACCTAATACAGGCTTAACCAGATCCCCGAATCAAGCTTAAAGGAGGGCATCGTACACTCAAGTTAAAGAGAATTAATTTTTTTTAAGAAAAAAACACGGACGCATCAGTCAATAACTGGTACCTAAATTAAAGTGGACATGGAAAGACGGCCTAGGATAACGAGGTGATGTAAATCAATGAAGTGTTTTGGGCCCCAACACACTGGTGCCACTGAGTTGATTCTCGCGGCCGATTACGCTACCCTGCTACCCACACCGACCAGGAAGACCGGATAGGAAGTGAATACAACCGTTAACTTCAAAGCTCAATCAAATCGGTGTTATGTCGAGTGTGGCGTTCGCTTGTGTGCATTTATAGCCCAGAAGTGTGAAACAGCGTGAGTCATAACTGCATTAACATCGAGACCTAGGTGAAAGCTATCCGGGCAGTGTAATTCAGGATAGACGTTAGCGATAAGACGATGAGTTGAGGTTCCACTGAGTTGACAGCATGCTGTGTAAAGGGGACATTGTGTAGGCGACCAAATTAGCAGCAGTTTTTTTGAACTAGGTACAAAATCGAAGATTTATGCGTGTGTGTGACATGTTTTCTCAAGGCTAAGGTCTCCTGTACTGCCCTGGCTAGACTATAAAGACAAATTTTGCATTTCGGATTAAGCATTAATGGAGCTCGAACCAGCAATAGAAATTAATTGTCTAGTACCTGCGACGACAATCAATGTCTCGTGTGGCGCCGTTTTTATAGATACAGTATCAGTGTCACGGTTTCCTTGTCAACATTCCCATTGAAATATATATCCCCGACAGAGAATGCTACTGTGAAATTTCAAGTCCGAATTCAGTAGTCGCAAATCGAAATAGCATACTACATGTGTTCCAGTACAATGCAGCTATCCAGATACCTACTGCTTGAAGGAAAAATGAAGTCACATCGTGGAACAGCTGTTTAGCCCATAGGAGGATGCGGGAACGCAACCCCAGTGGCGCCAAGAGCACAGCTGTTACTGTTAACAGGGTATTTTATGGCGGCAAACCAAATTTGCAGGGAAAGCGCTTTAAACGGGTAACAAACATGGGGTTGTATGCTTTTGATCCTCCGATCAACTTTTTATGATATTAGAACTCCTGATTTCATGAGAGCTGTGAGCGGGGGGGAACAGGAATCAGGGAACCAGGCTCCGATACAGACGAAACTCTCGTTCTAACGCAGCCTGTGAAGATTTGAAAAGGTTGTGCTCACGCTCAAACATACGACTTACGGAATGGCCAAGGGTAGAATAAGCTAAAACTAAACACCGAAATTTCAGCCTACACCGCGAAAACCAAACGCGCAAAGACAGTACATCGACTACAAACTGACGATGGTCGATACCTGTTAGATACAAAATTGTTTCACTAAACAACTGGAGAGATTGCGATCGGGTCGTGAGTTAATAATGCAGTACCGATAGAAATTCTAAGCTCAGCAGATAGGATAGTTTGAGATCGCAAAACACCAAGTCTTCTGTACCCAAAGAACCACTTAACACACCCACAAAACGCATTTACAATAAACCCCGTGAACAAATCTCCCACCAAATTATCATATTTACCATTGTTAACGGACCTGATCGTCATTTTCTGTAAGCAACGTAACCACTATAACCAATGCAAACTTCCTAGGTGAGCATTACACAACAATTCTAGCCTAGCACTACGACAAATGTAGAAAAAAAGGAAGGAAATTAAAAGCCTCCCGATAGCTCAGATGTTTCTTGATGGTGACTTTGAGGAGTCAAAAGATTGCTTTACAAGAGTATCGGACTTGAAGAAGTAGCACACCCACACAAAAATCTCTCACAATGTTAGACTTAACGCCGGGCACAACCAAACTAGCTGATTCATGACTAGAACAGTTCCCACCCAGCGGACCCCTACTTAAATGCGAAAAGTAACCTGAATTTAGATAAATCAGTTGTCGGACATACACCACACGTAGAGCTCGGTGTACGGCCATCGGAGAGCATGTTGAATGCGACCTAAGTGCATAACAGGCACGAAAAGCTATATCAGATATTTTACCAAAACATGACGGCCGCATACCGACAAAAACTGTAAAAGTTTTTCAGATAGATACCGACACACTAAGGGAAACAGTTCGAACAAAAGAAAAGTGGTTGTCAGCAAAATTAACCAAACATCTGCTGCAGCATGTGTTATCACTAAACGGACCCACTTGCCGACGTATCGAGATACTGCAGCACCAGGAAAGGACCATGAATATTGACGCAGACGCCACAGCCATTTCACTTCACAAGGGTATGACTTAACACGAACAGACATCACGGCCTCACAATGAGCCGAATTTCGTACTTGTGAAAATTACTGACCTGAAAACGGCTCAAAATAGGTCAGCATCCACGAGGCCCCTACCCACCAATTATAAATTTAAGATGCCAATGACGAGAAATAATCTCTTGTAAGGAAATCTACACTACGTATTTACGTCATTGCCTTACATGGTACCACATACTCATTAAACAGCGTAGTATGCACAACGAAAACAGCCAACTTAACGAAGGATGATTCCACCGAAGGAAAAAGTGGGGTGATATTAAAAATAATTATTAACAATGACGCATTAACTAAGGGGGTGAAACTGATACGCAGTCCACAGTTACAAATGATAGATTCAATTATTGAACTAGAAATGAACAGGCGAACTAACGAGAGCGATGAGCAAAAATGTACAGGTGGAGGAATCGCCTTTATTTGCGGACATTAAGTGTGAAAACGATGACAGGTGTGTCACGCAACTGGACGCTCTACTCCTGACGGCTCTTTTCATCAAAGTCGCCAACGAGATCGGGCACATCATCGTCGTCATTGTCTGCATTATCCGCTGATTCGAAATGTGCAGTTTCTAAAGAAATGATTCCAGTTAACAATACAAGTACAAACGTAACTGCTGAAAACCAACCAGACAGAACTTACCATTCATCTTTGAAAGACGCTGCTTGGCGGTCTCAAGCTGGCTCATCATATTTGGAAATAAGTCATTAAGAGCTAAAAAAAATTAGAAAGTTTCAAACATACTCTTGTTTTCTGCAAGACCAGAAACGGCAAACATGTTCGCCTGAGGCGACGCTTGAACCCTCGGATTCTTGAAGTGAATCATCGTCCCATCGGCCCGATACATGTTAACCTCCTCAATTGATGGTATAACATTGATCCCCAGTTTCTTGAGAGTAGCCTGCAATTTCTTGTCATCAGTCGCGGCAGTTTTGTGGACAACTTTCCTCTTTCTGCGAGCAGTGCCTTTGCCGCCAATGCGAGCTTGTTCAGAAACTGATTTCAGGGCTTGGAGTCTTTCAAGACGTGCAGCATCCATTAGATTTTAGTAAAGATGAAAAACCAGGTAAGATAGAGGATTCAGACTACAAAACTCGACGCAACACACGAACCTCAGCAAAGCATGAAGAAACCCGTGACCATCAAACTGGAAGGCAAAGCCGACTCAAACAAAATTAACACACAGTATAACAAACTCCAATTAAAATATATAAATAACACTTTTGTTAGCAACGTTTGAGTTAAAAAAATTTATCAAAAGTTTTTAGCAACAAAGGTTAAACAAAGAGCATTTCAAGGAATCTGACTTGCATCTCAATTGTAAGTAATACTAAATATTTTGTATTAATCATCAAACACGAAATGCCAAGTAATGTTATGAATGGGCGTTGTGTCAAAACAGGCAATCATTAAATAAAAAAATTGCTTGTGAGTAATATTTACAACACAATTTCAACGAAACACGACCGTCAAACTCGTATTTGGCTGGCCGTAATGATTCAAGAGAGTCCATCAGAGATGACGCACTCTCAGTATATATTGTAGTAGTGCTTGACGTCGTTCTAAGAATGACCTGGAAAAGTATACAAAGGTCTCTGTCATCAAACTGGTTGCACAATTCGAATATTTTTCCATTTTGATTGTCTATCCTGTATCTTGTTCAAATTTTTTTGATATTCTACTATTTGGACAAAATCCAAATATTTGACATTCGCTAATAATTTTATGAGTTATCCGAACCAAGTATTTATAGATCCTTTCATCGTAATATTCTCAAATGTACCAAGAATTCACTTAAATTTGACATAAAATAAGAATTAAAGTCACGTCAAAATAGTGTTTGCTTTGGCAGGAATATACTGGGTTCTAATAGGTTAATAATACGCATCTGAAGCAAACCATCTGAACAGCCAGGATTTAAAAATATGAACTTCGACGGGTCTCCTCGTAGGCTTTTTTATACATTACTACATCCTTGACAGAAAGTTAAATATTAAAGCAAAACTTAAACATTAAGAGAAAAATGAAGCTTAATAGCACTGCATCACATTTGATGCAGAAGAACCGCCAAGGATACACTGCGGGAAATGCTATAGTGATCCCTGATATGCTTCAGTCCTGAGATTAGAGAATACGTGGATGAGCGCTTAGGTACGCTTCAGATCAGGCCTGATAGCAATCTTGATTTATCTGAAAGACTGCCGTCTCAACTGTATTTCAAGCGGGCCCAGGTTGCAGAAAGCCCGTTGGTTCGTGGTTAACTCTCCGTACCTTTTAACTCTCCCGAATTCGCAGATTGCTTATGTATCCTATTAGGCGAAGGAGTCTAATGTACACCAATCGGACCAAGCTTAGTTCCCAGCTCCTTGGTTGATTAGAGTACTAACAAATTAACTTATGCGTTTGATCATCCACCGTTAGTTCACGAAAAACACGCGTGTATTATTAATACCTGACAAAATATGCATGCATTAAAACCCTATTTGAATAGAGAATACGGAAAATCAGATTCAAAGCTCAAATCTGAGGGTAAACACCAGAAACCCGAGTACGTGTTTGTACGCACAAAATCCGACTGATTAATGCTTGAGGCAGCCACGATTATGAAAATATAATAGCTTGATAACCCTTAAACGCCTCGTTGTCCCTTATATTTCCGCACAATCTAGTAACTAGACTGACGAATAACTGGAGGTTACTGTAAATTTAAACAGGTATTCATAATACCGCAAACGATGAGAAGGTTTTAAAAAACGAAGTGTAAGGCCGGATTGGACATGCGTAAGGCCTCAAAATAGGTCCCAAAGCGGGGCAACTCTTTTTTGTACAAATCTACACGGTGAAGGTAAACTTAAGTTTCATGAGATGGTAAGCAGAGAATCAGAGTCATGCTAAAGAGGATCACAGGTTGATATGATTAAGCGAATATTAAATTGAAAAAAAAAACTAAACAAACAAGCTCTAGGGGATTTCTAAGACCACATGCTGCTCCGCAACACCCCACGTGCACAAACGGAAAAACTGAAATAAGTTACTTCTTACAGTGGGACGAGAAAAATCCTAACCAATTTTTCTAAATATTGATTTAATAATTAAAAAAAGTTGCAAGAGCCTATCAAGGAAGATGGAAAAATTAAAACCGAGATGAGATGCGACAAAACACGCAGTTGTGTTTTCCGTGATAAAAATATCAATTGGACCTCAGCAACTCAGTTTGCCTAGACTTTTATTTAAAATTAAACACATCGAATTAATCCCCAAGGTAAACTCAGGAAAGTAGAAGATACTTTATTGATCAAAAAATTGATACACGGATAAGCAAGGACCTTCAGGCATCACGAATATTTTGTAAAGCCATGAACTCACCAACTTCTTTATAAATCCTTTTTGTTTTCAGCCTAAAAGCCAATAAGAAAATAGGAGTAAATGTCAAACATACATTTGCACATGAGGAGTTTGGCGCGTCATCAATAGTTGTAGAAGATACATTTACCTAAAATAAAAAAATACATCTGGGACATAAAACACGCAATATTGTGTTCATACGACAATTCACATATGAGACAAAGCATCAGCTCCAACAAATCATGTAGGCCTGCAATAATAAAGCCCGTTGCACATGCGCAACAATTTGACATCGATGTACTTTTCAAAACACTAATAAAAATCGCTGTTTGTCGCCGTTAAATAAAAAAAAAGTACAGAATATATGAAGATGAAATGGATAAAATGGGCGAAAAAGTGGAAGACACAGTAGATAAGAAGAGTTGCTTACTAAAGACGATACCAAAAAAAAGTAGAATTTATTTGCTTCGAATTGAAATTCATAGCATAAAAAGCAATTATTACTTTTAAACACCACCGTATATATAAAAAAAAGCCAAATATGCTGCTCAATTTCAGAAAAAAAGACCAATTAGGACACTTACACATTAGTAGGAATACATGAAACAGATTAAAATAAGGTCGCAAAGAAAGCAATATTTAAAAACACAGAAAAGATATCTGAAGCAACGAAAAGACTATTGATCACATTCTAGTATGGAAATTATAGGCGAAAGATATGAAAAAAGCATAGTGCAGTGATAATAAGAGTTCATTTAATACGACTAAAAATGCGAATGTGCAATAAGTTATAAATAACGTAAAAAGCACAAGAAAATCAAACAATGGATCAAAGATACAAACAAAAACAAAATAAATACTGACTACGCAAAAAAGCTCGATTACCTCATGATGTTCCACTGCCTGCTGCTGACCAAATTTTGCCTGCAGGCTTGGGAAAAAAGGTAGTAAAATAGGAAGAAAAAATCGATGAAGGATCCACAAGAGAAATGGAACAACCAGGCAAGGAACGCACACCATTTTAAAAGTTTTTAACAAATACCTACTTCTGCTTCTGGCAATTAAAACAAATGAGATAAAAAGAACATTATTTGATGAAGTTACACGCTAAACTTATTTTAAAGGAACGCAGCACACAAAAACTGACATATTGCAATACAAATCATTTAAGTAATAAGCTAAATCCGAGACAGGCAAATGAAAGTGCTTTTCTTTTATTAACTACATTTATTTATAAAAATTACTTCTTTGTTATTATAAGTAAAAACTTTTTAAACCTATGCTACTAAAATATGTATGTTGCTTCCTAATGACAAACCTCTCGGGTCAAGTCCATTTTTTCTGAAAACTGCAAATTGATTTCCACATTTTAGCTCATCCGATTTAACGAATACCATTATACTTACGTATCTTAATAATTAAAAAAACCTATATTTTTTTTAATTTTAGTAAATGATTTCCAAGATGTATATTACGTTGAAAATTTATATGTTAATACTAAATAGTTTGCGGTTAAACGCATCGATTAAAACTCACTAACGCAGTCGCTCCTTTCCCGATCCACTGGCATAAGTTTCACTGTATGCCATTAGCCAAACGGGACCTTTACCTAATTCTCGATGTTAGCTTATTTTGACTTACGCTTTGATAAAAATTTAAGCCAGAATGTGCTGAAATAAAAGCCTCCTAAAAACTATTTTGGCTATAAATAAAATTGCTGATTTCACGTCCTCTTCGGATTTTTTGTCATTGTGGTTAGCAGGGAAGCGTTATTGGGCCAGAATTACGTAAGTGACCCTAGCATACATTGAGACCATTCGCTGAAGCCCACAATAAAGTTTATATTCAATTTTAGTCTGGTATGATTTAATGCTTTTATACAAATTGGTTTCGAATTTTTTTTTGAAATTATATTTTTTTTTCAAAAAACCTTACGCCGTTATTAGTTTTCCTTTTCGATTTTATACACTAAATATAATTGCCTTATTAGAAGTGGTACGTTTACCGGATGGATGACGATTGAATTACATTGTATCTTTGAACAAAGTAGTTTGCAAAAAATGGGACTGAGAAAACCTCATATGTAGTCATGTGGCCTACACCATCTGACTGCATTGCTGAATATTCCCACCACACAAATTACGATAATTTGTCGTCGTTAATTGGCAAAAGTCAGGTCTTTAGGCTCTGGGTCTTAGGCTTCTCATTGTATGATCTAAAAGGTTTTGCATAGCTAGGTTACAGTTATGTTTGGCAAAAAATGAGTAGAGGTAAGAACGGCGAATTTGGAATTGTTAGGCAATTTTGTAAAATGCTGAGTTTAATTATAGATGAGGTGAGAGACACGAAAAAAAGCACAAAAATTGTTCTTCTATATTTGTTTGTCTTTCTTCCCGACTTAAGCAGAACCAATACTAGATTAATGTTTGTAAATTTTGCTTCTACGGGTAAGGTTGATCTAAGTGGTGTGGCAAGAAACCTTCAAGGTCAAGGTTCAAAAGGCACAATGCTGACAGAAATTACAAAAAAATTAAAAATGAAGTTAAAATTTTAGAGAGATTAGTTGTTGCAGCTGGTTTCAGTATTAGGTAATGGCCTGATATACCAATGGCTGATAGCAGTTAGAAGGAGGATTGTGTCTTAAGAGGCGTGCTAAACATGAATATAATTTTTCTAGGTAGATGCTGTTGATGGCTCTGTAGCTATTTAGTTTGAATTCAAATAGAAAATTAAAAGTGATATTACGCCTTAAGACAAAGTCCTATTGTCAACAATTAAAATTTTGTATACCTATTCAATTATTAAGCAAAAATAGTTAAGCATAATTATAGGCAATTTCTATTTCATATAGTAACTAAGCTTACAATTTATGCATTTAGTACTATGTTATGTTATCGTAAAACCAATTTTGTTTAAACCAATTTGCACGAAAAACACACGTCTCGTTTATTGCTTTTCTTGGGAAACATGTCAATCGTTGAAAAAAGACAACAAGCTGTGAGACGAAATTTGCAGCTACTAAGAAGCATGGGAGGTGCGTATTTTTCTGCTTTTATTTTTGTCTAGCTCTTACGGAATCGGAAGAATCGGCTATGTTGAAGAAGTATAACATTAAAGACGTATGTTTGCCTCTATGTTGATGTTCTGTTATTTCGCCCAAAAATTCAACGGTGACAGTTTCTGTTAAGTGCGTGGTTTTGTATTGCATCATGTTGTTCTATTAACATCAAGATGCGTTCACATTTTTTAAATTTAAATGAAATTTTTATCGTTTCTCACATCCGTATCCTCCTGCTCTTAAATATTTCCGTAATCATTTTTTGCAAAACACATAATTATAACCCTTGGTTAAGTCAAATCCTTATGTTAAACCTTTTTTAAATATGTCTGTAAGGTTTTTTAGCTGTCATATTCATTTTAACGATTGATGTTTTGATGGTGATAAATTTGTAAATTGTATTTTACTAGGAATATTTTCTTACACTTGGTTTCGTCAATAAATGTGTTGTGACTTCTGGAATTGTGTAATAGTGTGCAAATGGTGCTTATTCCAAATCATTTTCAGTGGTGTGTTTAAGTTATTCAATAACACGGTGTTATGTAGCTTTGTGTTGAAGCTTAAAATTTGATGATCCTTGCCCATAGGTGTTGATTATCGGGTCCATAACATTTCCGTCAAAATTGTCACGGTACCTTTATTACTGTCCCTTTTTTCGACCCCTATATATGACCTCAAGGATTTCCACTCTATGCGAAACCTGGCTTTAAGCAAAGGACAGCTGTTTTTCTGTCTCCTTTTAGAAGGAAACTTTAGAAAAGGAGCGCAGGGCTCTAACGCGCTTCATGAAAGCCGATGAACTGCGTGTAAAAAAGATGCGACCGAAACCAAGAGTAAAAATTTTACGTCCCTGTCAAATACGTTTCTGTAGAAGCGTCCACGCTGCCTCTTCTCAAGACCCCTCAGCGATAGTGACGATAGCGACTGGGCAAGCAGCGGTGATGAGTGGCAACCTGAATCGTCTCCTGTTTCTGGCCTGAAGGCGTTTCCTAAACGAGGTGTTTCCAAATGTCCTCCTAAAAATAACTGCCAATCATCCAAATCCGTTGCTCCAAAAGAAATTAATCGTCTCAGTGTTGACTCGAAAACTTCCTCTAGAGGTCCCTTGCAAAGTGTAGACGCCTCAGGCGCCCTAATGGAACTTCAAGACGAGGGTTTGCTCTTGTGTTTTTTTAGTGTACATTTGAATCTTTGTTTAGGGAGGAATTTTCCCAAGAGAAATATAGCCAAGCTTAATTACAAGGAGCCTCCGCCGGATCCGGAAGATGATCGCTATTTATGTAAGTTTTTATTTTTTGAAATGACGACGTTGGCAAGTTCCTGCTTTTTTTGATAGAAATACCTTAAGTTGACATCTTTGAGCAAAAATCCCATATAATCGTTTAATTGCGATTACTTTCACAGCCCTATGGAAATCTAGGTTTGTGCTTTGACTTTGATGTCATGCTAAAATGACATAATATGACGGTATGTTTTAATGTGTATCCAAAACATAGGTCCCTTTCCAGCTCAAAATATACTAATTCACCCCATGGTACCGCTTTCTGTTGTCAAGTAATGTTAGAGTCGAAAAAATAGAAGGATAACCCCAGGCTGTTTGTAGTAAGTTGACGCGCTATTTCTTCAGTCAAAAACAAGCCTTGCACAGTAAAATAACTGATAGGTTAGCCTCTTTGCTGGTTTTTTTTAGATTGCTACGAATGCGATAAACTGTATGAGGATCCCTGCCCAACTCACCCAATTATGTGGATTCGGTCAGTGAGACCGCTGAATTGCGATGCTGTGAAGTCGGGAAACGCCAGAGACTGCTGCTGTGGCAGCGATGAGCGCAATCATGCCAAAAGAACGGCGCCAGAAGCTTTTGTTACCGTTGGACGCTCGAGCATTAAAGGGGCTGGCTTGGGGGTGTGGGCCGAAAAGACCATTCCCATTGGGTCTGTGTTTGGGCCCTATGGCGGTGAGGTCGTGCCCCTAGACGGCTTGTCTGAGGAAGAGTTCAAAAGGGTAGTGAACTTCAGGGTTATTTTTTTTCACACCGACACCTCGTAGCAAACTTGAAGGTCCAGTTTCTGTTTTTAGAAATCTGACTATCAAAAGTGTTGTGTAACTTTTGACATGGCACAAGTTTGTAGCTACGTAACAAAATAACTTATGTGCCATTAGGCGTGTGCCTTAAACAGCGCATTAACATAATCGTCATAAAAGAAGCTTTTTCTCAATAAAAGTTGTCCAAATTGTTTCTTTGGAAAAAATGGACGAAGTACATCTTAAGAGTTAAAATTTTTGATCTGTGCGCATGTCGACGTAAAAAGATTCTCTCACTTTTTCCTCACACAACTCGTATTGTGCCTTCAGCGTTCTCGTTGTGGCTATGCGTGGTTGGTTCGGGAAAACCTGATGGGCACGAAAAGCCACCTTATAGATGCCGTCAAGCCGGTAAAATCCAATTGGCTACGGGTAAGCGCTTATGGGTAGCTTGTTCACATTTATTTTTAGAAAATTGAGCAAGTGATTCTATGCGAAAACTAAAGCCAT